ACCCTCTGCTTGAGACGTGGGCGGGATGTAGCCTGCGCGCAGAGGCCTCAGCGACGCGCCAGCATTGCTGATGCGGCGCGTCTGGCATAAGGGGGTGCCCTTGAGGATACCACGGCCAAGATCGCCGTCGCGGAAGCAGCTGCTGTCAACGCCTTCAGCCATCACGTGTGCGCGTGGACGTCCATGCACATGCACAAACCACAACAATAACGCCATGCCGCCAGCCATGCCAACTCACAGGGACAGTGTGAAGCAGAACGGAGCTTCTGGTCAAGTCTGGGGCGGCTTCCCGTGCACCATGCGACGGCGGCTCAAAGCAGCCAGCCTTGGGTGAAAGGTCTCTGAAAAGGCAACTGCGGGTCATGACCCTGAACCCCCGGGCTTTTTGCACCTTCGCTTGGGCTCCAAAGGCAGGCAAGCTCCGAGAGGCCTGGGCGCACGGAAGGGGGAGGAAACTTCCGGCTGATGCAAATCTGCTGGTTTTTGCACCCTCGGCCCCATCAGGGGTCCCAGAGGCTTTGGCTGCATTTACAGGTGTGGCTGGAGGGCAGGTTGCTGGATTTGGCAGACAGTAGCGACAACAACTGAAAGACACCGGTCATGCACATCGATGCAACCAGCCGCTAGTCCAAACAGACTTTCACTGGAAGCTCCGATGCAGAAACTGATCCCACCTCTCGCCTGCAACAGCGCAGAGCAGCAGCAAGGGCGACGAACTTCACAGACCGAGCTAGAAAGGCAGCCTATAGAATGCCCCTAGCTCCGAGGAAAGGAGCTTGGGGCCCCGGCCGTGAGCGGCACCGGGAGACGACTCAGGCAGGCAGGCCCCGCCATGCTCGCCACGCTTACCATGTCTGCCCCCCCACCAACTCCCCTCTAGAAGGGCTTGAACGCTGAACGCTGCGGAGTTGCGGCGGAGTCCCCGTCACGAGCTGGGACTGCTGGGAGGCTGCGCCCAAACTGCGACGACAGCAAGTCTGCCAGTTGGCGGAAATTGGCATGCTTGGATCGACGAGGAGGATCTGCTCAAGGTCTTAGTTGCCACGGGTGCTGGTGCTGGATTTTATCCTCCCCTTCCGGGAAATTCCGGAGCAAGAATCCAAGTGCAGATAAGTACTTCGTAGGTTTCAGCTTAGAGCGCGAACCTACCCGCAATCCTGTCTGCAGCAAGTGCTCGCCTTGGCGCTTTTTATGTCTCAAAAGCCCAGTCTTGGCCTTGC